TGTTTGGCGGGCCCGGGCTGGGGATTCAAACCCGCCACCTTAGGTGTTTGTGCCTGGCGCCTTAGCTGCTTGAGCCACAGGCGCCGAGCCTGAACACCACACCATATTTTAATGCTGTCATCTGAATTCTACCTAGGTAACTCTTTTTCTCCCATTCTACATTTTCATAAAATGCAGGAGTTTACTGAATGGAACAGAATAATGTTATAAAGTGTTAAGTCATCAAATCAATCAAATGCAATATACAGGGTGGCCATAAAGTTTGTGTGCAATTAACTTTATGGCCACCTTATATGCTGCATTTGGTTGATTTGATGACTTAACTTTATGGCTACTTTGCATATAACCTTGTTTGAATTCTGATTATAACAAATTGACTGTATGTGGGAAAAAAATGAAGGTAAACTGGGTGTCAGATAACACTAAAAAATTGTATTTAGCTGGGCGCAGAAGCTCATGCCTATAATCCTAGCACTCTGGGAGACCAAGGAGGGTGGATCTCCTGAGCTCATGAGTTTGAAACCAGCCTGAGCCACAGCAAGACCCCTATCTCCAAAAAATAAATAAATATATCTGGGTGCTGTTGCAGGAGCCTGTAGTCCCAGCAACTCAGGAGGCTGAGTCAAGGGGATCACTTGAGCCCAAGAGTTTGAGGTTGCTGTGAGCTATGACATCACAGCACTCCACCGAAGGTGACAAAGTGACACTGCCTCAAAAAACAAAAAAAAGATTTGATAGATGTGATATGTCGTTTTACTGGCAAAATGGTATGACTTCTAAAACTCCAGCTTTAATAGCAAATAAAACAATATTAAAAAACTATTGATGTTCAGCGCCTCTGGCTCAGCGAGTAGGGCTCCAGCCCCATATACCAAGGGTGGCAGGTTCAAATCCGGCCCCAGCCGAACTGCAAGAACAACCAAAAAAAAATAGCCTGGCATTGTGGCCAGCGGCTGTAGTCCCAGCTATTCGGGAGGCTAAGGGAAGAGAATCACCTCAGCCCAGGAGTTGGAAGTTGCTGTGAGCTGTGTGATGCCACGGCACTCTACCAAGGGTGATGATCCACTGGAATTCATCGTATTTTCCTCTCTACACTCTCTGAATGGTAACTTTACCATAAAACTTTTTTTTTTTTTTTTGAGACAGAGTCTCAAGCTGTCACCCTGGGTAGAGTGCCATGGTATCGTAGCTCATAGCAACCTTCAAATCTTGGGCTCAAGCAATCCTCTTGCCTCAGTTTTTCTATTTTTAGTGGAGACGGGGTCTCACTTCTGCTCAAGCTGGTCTCAAACTCCTGAGCTCAAGCAATCCACCTGCCTCGGCTTTCCAGAGTGCTTAGGATTACAGGTGTGAGCCCGGCCAACAAAACATTTTTTTATTTAAAGTAATGAGTCAAATAAAACATATGAAGAACATTCAGAACTCAACATTTACAAAAAGCAATCCAATTAATAACTGGCAAAAAACATACACACAAACATTTCACTGAAGAGGCTACACATGGCTTGGCACCTGTAGATCAGCAGCTAGGGCGCCAGCCACATATACCGGAGATGGCGGGTTCAAAACTAGCCCGGGCCTGCCAAAAAACATTGACAGTTACAACCAAAACCTTGCTGGGCACTGTAGCAGGAGCCTGTAGTACCAGCTATTTGGGAGGCTGAGGCAAAAGAATCGCGTAAGCCCAAGAGTTGGAGGTTGCTGTGAACTGTGACACCACAGCGCTCTACTGAGGGCAACGGTGAGACTGTCCCAGAAAAAAAAAAGGATATACAGATAACAAACGTACATATAAACAATGTTCAACCTCATTAGTCATTAGGGAAATGTGAATTCAAACCACAATAAGATATTACTATACATCTATTAGGATGGGTAAGATGAAATACATAGCTGACCACCTCCTTAAGTTGTCCTAACTTTTATAGACCAGATGTACACAACATGTATGTATCAGTACAGCAGGCCTAGTTCCTAATGTTGACCATCTCTGAATGTTGACCATTTACAGTCTTTTGAGTAGTTAACTTACAGAGGTTCTAATGTATAATGACACAACAGAGAAATTAGATCACTTACACATGATTGATTGGCAGGAATGTAAAATGATAGTCACTTTGAAATTTTGGCAGTTGCTTTTACAACTAAAAGTCGATATACCTTATGACCCAGCAACTGCATTCTTGCACATCTACCCCCAAGAAATGAAAACATATGTGGACACAAAAATATGCATACAAATGTTTACTGCACCTTTATTGCTATTAGCAAATAAATGGGAACAACCCAAAATTCCTGCAGTATGTGAATAAACTGTGGTATATTGGTACTATGGAATACCACTCAGAAATAAAAAAGAATGAACTACTGATACACACAACATGAATGAATCTCAAGGAAGTCGTGCTGAATGAAAAGTGCCAATGTCAAAAAGATACATACTGTAGGCTTCCATTTATGTAACACTCCATGAAATATCATTACTACAAAGATAGAGAACAGATTAGTGGTTGCCAGGGGTTAGGGATAGTGGGGAAGAGGGTGTGTATGACTATAAAGTAGGTGACATGGCATCTTCTGGTGATACTATAGTTAAGTATCTTAACTATGGTGGTAATTAGACATGTCCTAAAAGTGCCTATTACATACACAAATGCATATACAAATAAATGTACATATAAATGGTGAAATCTGAATAAAGATTAGGCTAATGTCAACTTGTCATAACATAGTTGTGAAAGACATTAACATTCATGTAGGCAAGAGTACATAAAATTCCTGCGTATGTCTTTGCAATCTCCTGAAAATCCTTTTCAAACTAAAATGTCAAAATAGAACAAATATAGCAAATTGAAACTATACTTTTTACGAATAAAAAATGACTGAAATTCTTACCTTTGCTGCTACTTCAGCACTGATCTCTTCTTGAGTTTCTGCTAATCTTTTTTTAGCCACTTCTGTTCTTCTATCACAATCTGCAATGAATGACTGTAGATGATCCATGGCCTGCAAAGTTTAATTAAAAGATGATTACTACCAGAAAGTCAACTTATTCAGAAATATCTTAATCAAAAATCACATTTTGTTTTTTAAAATGCTACCAGGAAAATTAGGGGAAAAAAAAAAACAGCAAGTTCAATTATCAATCCAAAATACTATCTGTCATCTATCAAACTGCCAAAGAGTAAACATAATTCCAAAAGCTAAGGCTATAAGAAAACTAACATTTTTGTGTGTACCCCACTGAAGGGAACACAAATTACTTCAGTTTTTATAAAAAGGCAACTAATTTTACTACCAGAAATTTATCTTAAGTAATCAGAGATATACGGAGTGATTAATATTCAAATATATTCTTCACAGTATTGTAAAAGTGAAAATACAGTAAAGAAATAGACAACAGCTATGAAATTTTGATCTCTAGTCATTAAAAAGTTTTCAACAGATTAGCACCTATAGCTCAGGGATTAGGGTGCCAGCCACATAAACCAGAGTTCACAGGCTCAAACCCAGCCTGGGGCTGCCAAACAACAATGACAAATACAACCAAAAAATAGCCGGGCATTGTGGCAGGCGCCTGTAGTCCCAGCTAGTTAGGAGCCTGAGGCAAGAGAATAGGTTAAGCCCAAGAGTTTGAGGTTGCTGTGAGCTGTGACACCATAGTACACTACAGAGGGTGACATAGTGAGACTCTGTCTCAAAAAAAAAAAAAAAAAAAAAAGTTTTCAACAGAAAACTCAAAGATGTGGAGAAATGTTTAGGATTCATTAATAAATAAAAAGAAAGTTATAAATATTATATGCAATAAGATCCCAATTTTATAAAATGAAGCACAGAAAGAAATGAAAGATCATACACAAAACATTATTTCTGAACATATGAATAATTTTTAATTTGTCTTCCTGTGTTCTTTAAATGTTCCACAATATACAATTAGAAAACTTACGTTTTTTCAAACAGACCACTGAGAATTTACAAGTGCCTATGCCATAAAAATCCTGCTCAATATTTATATAAAAGATTTTTAAGGCACATATTAATATGTCTATAATTGAATAATAGTTCATTAAAAAGTAAACCTTAAATATTTATTTACAAATTTAGATTTCTATATCTTACTGTAAAGAAATATAGGTAATTCAAAATACAAACATTTGATCAAAACCATGAATTTATCCAACACATATTTAATTCAAAAAGTGGTTGGATAATGAAGTGAAAAGCAGTAAGGATCATTTGAAAGCTTTTAACTGTGGTAACATAAAAATAGCCATTTAATTTATTAAATTTGCAATTTATCTTCTAAATCACAACCCAAAGCTGTTCAAATTTTCTTATGTGAGGATACAAAGTCACATCTTAAAGCAATGGGAGATGGACTAATCAAAAAATACTACTGAGTAACTAATAGATATATAGAGCCATAAGTCAGTTCCTTAGACTAGAATAAATTCAAAATGGATAAAAAGAATGTATAAAATGACAATAATATAGCACATATGAAGATTGATAAACTGAACAGTAAAACTAAAACTATCCTACAAGGGAAAAAAGCCACCAAAAAAAAAAGAAAGAAAAAAGTACTTACAATGTATATCTGAGGAAAAAGACTAATTATCATAATACATGAAGAGTTAGTATAAATCAATTATAAAAATGCTAATATTCAAGATTAGCCAATAACCCCCAAATAACTGCACAATGACAGATCACTAAAAAGGGAAATATAAATAGATCTTTAAAACATACAATATGGGGGGCAGTGCCTGTGGCTCAAGGAGTAGGGAGCCAGCCCCATATACCAGAGGTGGCGGGTTCAAATCCAACCCCAGTCAAAAAAAAAGCAATATGGTCAACCTCACTCATAAGAGAAATACAGCTTAAAACTCTACTTATATTTCTCATTTCTTATCAAAGTTGCCTAAAGAAATGTGAATAACACACTATGTGGCCACAGGGGAGATAGATCATTTCACAAATTTACTGATGGGAGTATAAATTAATAATTCTCATGAATAGTAACAATATTCATAAAATTACTATTTGACTTAGCTGTTCTATTTCTATGTATTTATCCTATAAACGTATCACCATACTATAATGGAAAATGAGAACAACCTAATGATGGCAAGTCCTGCTGTGATTTATGTCCAGATCACTTTAAGGTGTTTTCCTCAATGGTTCCAGCCATAGATTAAATTACATTTACAAAGATAATTTTCATTTCCATTAACAGAAATTCTTAGAAGTTGGGAGAAGTAAATAAAAAGGAACTTATTTATTGCTGGAAATACCAAACTAAATAAAAACACCTATTATCTCATTAATAAAAAGTATTATGGGGTGGTGCCTGTGGGTCAAGGGGCTGGGGCTCTGGCCCCATATGCCAGAGGTGGCGGGTTCAGGCCCAGCCCTGGCCAAAAACTGTAAAAAAAAAAGTACTATGAAGGCAGTACCTGTAGCTCAGTGGGTAAGGGTACCAGCCACATACACCAAGGCTGGCAGGTTTGAACACTGCAAAGGCCAGCTAAAACAACAATGACAACTGCAAAAAAAAAAAAAAAAAGAAAAAAAATAGCTAGGTGTTGTGGTGGGCACCAATAGTCCCAGCTACTGGCAGCACCCATGGTTCAGTGACTAGGGCACCAGCCACATACACCCAGACTGGTGGGTTAGAATCTGGCCCGGGCCAGCTAAACAACAATGACAAATGTAACAATATAGCCGGGCATTGCAGCAGGCACCTGTAGTCCCAGCTACTTGGGAAGCTGAGGCAAGAGAATTGCTTAAGCCCAAGAGTTTGAGGTTGCTGTGAGCTGTGACATTACAGCACTCTACAGAGGGCAACACAGTGAGACTGTTTCAAGAAAAAAAAAAAGAATATAAAAAAATTCAGATTACTGAAGAGCCCTATATTCACTAGAAATAAGTTGATTAGTTTTCATTAAACTGGTATTTCCCTAATCATTACTATTTTATTGGGAAGAATATGCTTAATTTTCAAAAGAATATGTGAACTGCACAAATTTTGCACATTTTCTTAAAATACTCAGTCTTCCTTCATATTTTAAAGTGTTAGTAGGCTAGGGATGGTGGCTGATGCCTGTAATCCTAGCACTGTGGGAAGCTGAAGTGGGTGGATTGCATAAGCTCTCAAATTCGAGACCAACCTGAGCTACAGCAAGACCCTGTCTCTTAAAAAAAAAAAAAAATAGCCAGGCGTTGTGGTGGGTGCCTATAGTCCCAGCTGCTAGGGAGGCTGAGACAAGAGAATCACGTGAGCCCAAGAGTCTGAGGTTGCTGTGAGCTATGATGCCATAGCACTCAACCAGGGGTGACAAAGGAAGACTGTTTCAAAGAATAAAAAATTTAAAAGTTTTAAAAAAGTATTATCAAGAATGTACAAGATAGGCTTGGCACCTGTAGCACAGTGGTTACAGCGCCAGCCACATATACTCAGGCTGGTGGGTTTGAACCCAGCCCAGGCCAGCTAAACAACAATGACAACTGTAACAAAAAATATAGCCAGGTGTTGTGGCAGACGCCTATAGTCCCAGCTACGTGGGAGGATGAGGAAAGAAAATGGCTTATGCCCAAGAGTTTGAGGTTGCTGTGAGCTCTGACGCCTCAGCACTCTACTAAGGGCAACAAAGTGAGACTTTGTCTCAAAAAACAAAAACAAACAAACAAAAAAAACAGAAAAGAAAGTACATGATAGGGTCAGGTGCAGTGGCTCATGCCTATAATCCCAGCACTCTGGGAGGCTGGGCCTTACTTAAGTTCAGGAGTTTGAGACCTATCTCTAAAAATAGCCAGGTATTGCAGCAAGCACTTAAAGTCTCAGCTACTTGGGAGACTGAGACAAGAGGGTCACTTGAGCCCAAAAGTCTAAGATTGCTGTGAACTCAACGCCATGGCACTCTACTGAGGACAACAAAGTAAGACGCTGTCTCAAGAAAAAAAAGAAAAGAACATGATCTCACTTAAGTATTATAATTCATAATTCACGTAACCACAATGAGGATAATTTACTAAGAGTTTTCCTATTAAGAGATACTAATCCATATTGAAAAGTAGACTGGTGGGTGGCACCTGTGGCTCAAGTTACTAAGAGTTTTCCTATTAAGAGATATTAATCCATATTGAAAATGTTCTACTACACAAAGATAATATAATCCATTAAAGCAAAATCACGTACATCAAGTTCAAAGAAAAAGTCTTGTTCTTTGGATGCAATTTCATAATCTGCTCTTAAAGCCAGGTCGTGGACTTTCAGACATTCTCCAAGATCCATTCTCTGGGGAAAAAAAGATACATAATATTAAACCAAAAGCATATTTTCAAAAATACATTAACAACCACAATTCTCCTCAGAATACATATTAAGTCACACAAATGCTTCTTTAGTTATAGACTTTCAAATGACAAAATTTCATAGATAAGTATAAAACGTGGTGTCCAAAAAATAACAGCACTAATTCTGTCTACCAGCAGATGGGAACAGTGATCACTTCTGTACTTAAGAACAAATGGATATGAAAAGCTTTGCAGAATCCTAAAAAATCTTGCAGATTCTATATAACAACATTTTTCACTTAGCTTCATAATGCAAGAAATATAAAGTTAATTTAAAACCAAATTAAGAAAATACATAAACCAGATTGCTGAACTGTTGTAAATGTTCTTTGAAGAACACTGTTTTTAAAATAAAGATAGAATCCTCAAAAAGTAGACTGGTGGGCGGTGCCTGTGGCTCAGTGAGTAGGGACGCTGGCCCCATATACCAAAGGTGGCAGGTTTGAACCCAGCCCTAGCCAAACTGCAACAAAAAAAATAGCCAGGCCTTGTGGTGGGCACCTGTAGTCCCAGCTGCTCGGGAGGCTGAGGAAAGAGAATCACCTAAGCCCAAGAGCTATTGGTTGCTGTGAGCTGTGATGCCACAGTACTCTACCAAGGGCAATAAAGTGAGACTCTGCTCTAAAAAAAAAAAAAAAAAAACAGACTGGTGACCCTGGTATCACACAACATTCCATGTGAACTAATAAAGAGACAATTTATGGCTCGGTGCCTGTACCCAGTGGTTAGAGCACTAGTCACACACACCCGGGCTAGCGGGTTCAAACCCGGCCAGGCCTGCTAAACAATGAAGGCAACAACAAAATAGCTGGGCATTGTGACAGACACCTGTAATCCCAAGTACTTGGGAGGCTGAGACAAGAGAATGGCTTAAGCCCAAGAATTTGAGGTTGCTGTGAGCTGTGATGCCACAGCACTCTATCAAGGACAACATAGTGAGACTCTGTCTCCAAAACAAAAAGAGACAATTTGTTAGTAAAACCCATAAATTCACAAAGAACAAGTCACTAATCTCACCTATGATGAGCATACGTCAAGAAAAGAAAATAGGCTCAGCGCCTATAGCTCAACCAGCTAAGGTGCTAGCCACGTACACCTAAGGTGGCGGGTTCGAATCCCCAGCCCGGACCCGCCAAACAACAATGATAGCTGCAACCAAAAAATAGCCAGGCGTTGTGGCGGGCGCCTGTGGTCCCAGCTACTTGGGAGGCGGAGGCAGGAGACTCGCTTGAGCCCAGAGTTAGAGGTTGCTGTGAGCTGTAATGCCACGGCACTCTGCCCAGGGGGACAGCTTGAGGCTCTGTCTCAAAAAAAAAAAAAAAAAAAGAAAATAAAATAAATACTGTTACCCAACACTAGACTCCTTCTATTTGGAATTTCCAGTTAGACATTATTTATAAAACCAGAGGCTTTTCTCATGTCTGAGACCAAATCCACCCACTGTTACATGAATCTGGGCAACAGATAAGATCGTCCATGAAACCCTTTCAGGGGAAAATAGCACAAGATACAAAGATAATTACAGATGGGATGGGTCATCAATGGATGAGATTTTCTAATTAGAGGTATCTGACAAGAATGTGTCAAAACTCTCTGGAGGGCTGGTGAAAAAAGAGTACATAAATCAAAAAAGTGGCAAGGTGCAGTGGCTCGCACCTATCATCCCAGCACTTTTGAGAGGCTGAGGCAGGAGGATCATTTAAGGCCAGAAATTCAAGACCAGCCTGAGCAGCATAGTGAGACCTCATCTCCAAATAATAATAGTAATTCCAAAAAAGTATAATAAATATTCCTTCTGGTTTTGTTACAAAAGCTATCTATACACAACAGTACAACAAAACACTGTACCAAACACAATGATGTACACTAGGGATACAGTGATTAAGTGACACTCACACAGTCTCTCACTACACAGAGCTTATGTTTTAAAGAGGGGAAACAAATGATAAAAGATGAAAGATAAAATGTCTATGAAACAAGTTAGGTGCTCTCATAAAAATTATAATGCTCCTCAATTACGGAGGCTACTTTGAGATAAGGTAGTCAAAGAAGACTTTTCTGAAAAGGATGAACTTAAAACTATATCTAGAGAACAAGAATCTTCTCCACTCCCATTGCTTCACTTCGCTAGCATTACATAATTAGAGAAGCAAACAAACCTTAGGAAAAGCCAAAAAAAGATTGCTTCAGTTTTTACAAAAGAATAAGGTGGCAGACTTACATATATATGTAGGGTGGTGCCTGTGGCTCAGGGAGTAGGGTACTGACCCCATATACCAAGGGTGGTGGGTTTGAATCTAGCCCTGGCCAAACTGCAACAACAACAACAAAATAGCCAGGCATTGTGGTGGGCACCTGTAGTCTCAGCTACTTGGGAAGCTGAGGTAAGAGAATCAATCGCCTAAACCCAAGAGCTGGACGTTGCTGTGAGCTGTGATGCTACAGCACTCTACTGAGGGCAACAAAGTGAGATTATGTCTCTAAAAACTAAACTAAAATAAAATAAATATAAAATATATATATATACACGATATATTACATATATATACACAAACATATACATGTGTATATATATGCACCAGCGTTAACCACAGCAAAGTTCCTGGCAACAGGGAATAGGTCTACAGTATCTACAGCACACAAGTGTGAAACTTAGCTTTGCATACAGCACCTAAAATGAAAGTTGGGTGTGGCGAGGCTGAGACCAGAACTTCCAGACCAGCATGAGCAAATAGCAACCCTGAGAGTGCTATGATCATAGGTATGAGCCACTGCCACAGGCCAATTAATAAAATTTAAAGCAATAAATATAAGTCCTATAGTTACATATCCAAGAAAACAAATTTACAAATTACACCTGTAACTCTTACACTTTGGAAGACCAACGCAGGAAGACCACTTGAGGCCAGGAACTCAAGACCAGCCTGAACAAGAGGGAGACCTTATCTCTACAAAAAACAGAAATATTAGCCAGGCACAGTGGTGTGCACCTGTAGCCCTAGCTACTCGGGAGGCTGTGGCAGCAAGATCACTTGAGGTTGCAGTGAGCTGGGATGAGAGCAGTGCACTCCAGTCCAGGAAAGAGAGACGCTGTCTCAAAAGACAAACAAACAAATAAGTATGACCAGATCATCAGAAAAATAAAAAAACTAGTCACGAGTAAGGATTACAGTATGGCATGACTGAGATAAAGCTATATGGTATAAAACTAACTTAAAGAGGACGCAGTAAAAGCAATGTGAGAAATCTCTGCTGAAGGCTGGTTTTAAAGCAAACTGCTGCTCTCCAAAAGACACATTCTATGACATTTTAAAAAAGGGATGTGAATAAATTAGATGAAGTGTCTCAAAACCAAGCTACATAAAAAAGTCAGGGAATAAAAGTAATTAGATGGAGAAAAGAAAAATCAACTAAGATGTAAATTGAAGAATGTTTCATTAAGAAGGAAACATAGGGCTCGGCGCCTATAGCTCAACCGGCTAAGGCGCCAGCCACGTACACCTAAGGTGGCAGGTTCGAATCCCCAGCCCG